TTTTTTTTTTTTTTTTAAATGGGAACAAGGCTCCAATCTATTCGTGGGGAGCAGCACGTGCTGGGAACCGGGCCCAGCGCCCCATATGGAAATTTACATAAAATTTTGAAGATTGAGATACCGGGGCCATTACCCGGTTTTGGCTCGGAAAAAATCGAATGACTACGACAAAACTTCAGAATATGAACAGAGTTCAGAAAACTACTCAGAAAACCCCTCCATCCATCCACTGTACCTCACTCCGGCAAGGCTTACAACAGCGGAGCCACCATCTCCGCTGCTGCTATGCCCTATTCCCATCCTACCAGCTAGCCCCCTCACTAGTAGGACGCATGATATCCCACCATCTCCTTCCCCACTCCCCCTCGTTCTTTTTAGCTAAAAAGTTGGAACTACTTAGGAACTGACTACAACAGGCTTCAAGAATAAGCAGGTTTCAAAAACCGACTCGGAACCCTCCCCCCCCATCAATCCTCTATACCTCACTCCGGCAAGACTTACTACAGCAGAGGCACCATCTCTACTGCTGCTATACCCTATTCCAATCCTACCAGCTAGCCCCCTCACTAGTAGGACGCATGTTATCCCACCGTCTCCTTCTCCCACTCACCTCGTTTCTTTTTAGAGAAGACCGCCGGGGTCTAAATCTCGACCTCCCAAACCTTTCCAGAGTTCCTCAAAGTTGTCTTACTCCCTGCTGAGCTCTTCCAGGCCTCACACCCCCACTTCCTGCTGGGTTACAGGGCAACACAACTCGTCCCAGCTCCGGCCAGCGTCATCCCAGCAGCAAACCTTGGTTGTCCCGTGAGATGCCCACCCCAAAGCATCCCCAGATCTCTCTAACAGGCCTCATGCTCCTGCGTCAACAGGTTACAGGGCAACACCCCAGCACCGGCCAGCGTCGTTCTGGCATCGAACAGCCGCAGATCGCTGAGTATAACAACTTCAAAGTAGCCGAAGAAAAGTTGATAGGAGCCCCAGAATCCTAAACATTCTTAAGTCCCCCTTAACGGCCAAAACAGGATAAAATTCAGAAAAAAGGGGGTCAAAACTAGAAATTAATACCAACTATCCTAAAATCCCCCTCTCAACAAGCGGACCGTCGGTCCCGGCTTTCAGTCCTCGTACCAGAACTCACCTGGTCTCTCTGCTAGGGTAACAGGGCACCGCAACCCTCCCCAGTACCGACCAACCTAGTTCTGACGGACAGGAAGTGCCTTCCTCCCTCGACAATTCCTTTAGCGGCAAACCCCTAAACAGGTTACAGGGTCCACAGCCCGGTGCCAACTACGTTGGACGACCTGGTTACCTCAGCATAACTCCATGGACCTCAAGCTCCCCCTGGGTCACAGAGCACAGCTCCAGCACCGGTCTATGTCATCCCAGCATCGTCCTCCTGACCTACTCACCTTAACCGACATCTCCCGTCTGTTGAAAGTCCCCTTTCATTCTATCCATCCTCCCATTCTAGTTTCCCCCTAAGCAACCATCAACAGAAAAAGCACCGACACTGCCGTAGATCTTTTCATCGAAAATCAGGAACAACGTTAAAAATCTATCTGTATCGTCTTTTTGAGAATTAAAATTTAAGAGGAGATCAAATAGTAATCAAAGGTTTTTTTTTTTTTTTTTTTTTTTTTTTTTTTTTTTACAAAAGAGAAAATGCATTATAACCAGGCAAAACAGAGGCCGGGGACCCCACAATTCGACCCGGAGTTATCCTGGCAGCATCAGCCAGTTTAGCTTACGAGCCAGGCTCGCCAGTTCAGCAGAACTGAGATTTCTTGCCCTTAGTACCCATATCTCAGAAATTTTGGGATTTCACCTATCTTTTTTTTTTTCCTTCTTCTTTTTTTTTTTTCCTTCTTTTTTTTTGAAAATAGAAGGAGGAAAATCTGCAGTAGGGGCTGTCTGAGGGGGACCCTCCAAGATAGGATGGTTTGGGTCCCATAAATTAGTTGCTGACTGTAGATAGGTACCTGTCGTGGGTCCAGAAACCGACCTCTACAACACCCTGGAGATAGGTACCTGTACTGTGTCTGTGTGTGGGTGCTATTTCTTGTTTCTGTTTTCCTTTTTCTTTTTCTGTGCAAGGCCAGGGCTAGTCGCCTTACGTCCATGCTATGGAACCATGAGCCTGCTGCGTTCATGCCAGCTTACCGCAAAAAGACATAGCATCAATAGGGCCTGCTTAGCACACCATCGCCAGATCTGGTACCTTCGAATCCCTGCCAAGGGGAGGCAGTCCAAAGGGAGGGGAGGACAGCTCAAAACAAACCAGCTCAGGGGGAACCGGTGGCGAAACTGCTCCCTGCATCTCATAACCCGCATATGCAACAACCGGAACGTACCCCTGTAAGCCAACCCCAAGAGGATCAGTTACGGCTAAACTCATCAACTACCATTGCCTTCGATCCTCACCAGCAGACTCCGGTGGCTCGGCAACGTCAGGCTGGCTCGGAGCTGCAAAGCGTTGACAAAGTCCCTATGGAACAGCCTCTTGGGGGAGGGGAACGACAGCAGCCACCGCCAGTCTTAGAGCTACTGACCCAATCTCAGGGGGGAAAGCAGCAGCAAAGGCCCGCTGAGAACACAGCCCGGGTGAGTCCGGCGGTAGGGGAATTAATAGTGGGGCTCCCGGCTATAACCACCACTCAGCACCTCCAGCAGATGGAGAGTGCCACGGCGGGACAACCCGGGAGGCTCGGCAGATGGACGGGGCCGGCTGTTGAGCACCCAACGCAATTGATGACAACAATACAATTACAGCAACAATCCCCGCGTCAAAGGACACAGCCCACACAGCTGGAGGCCACTATGCCCAAGCAACGCCCTCAGGGGCAAGGACAACCTCAATCTCAAGGGGGTGATCTGACGCAAGCCCAAGCTTTGCTGTACCAGCAGCATACGAAGAGCGCCACAACAGGACAGCCACAGAGGGAGGGGGCACAGCTTCTACCAGCAGCTAACACAGATGGGGCACAACTGCAGCTGATGGAGTTTACTGAGCCCGTGCCCTGTCTGCAGCACACGGGGAGCACCACAATAGGAAATCCACAGAGAGAGGCGTCACAGACTCCACCACCAGGACAGCTGCACAAACCGTCAGAGGTGGCCATGGCCCCGCCAAAGGTCGACACAATGCAGAACACACCGGTTGCTGCTTGCTCCGAACCTTGTCGTCAAGGGGCAGAGGACCCTCAACAGCAAGCCGAGAGGCAACGGCGACAGGTGGAGAATGCCCTGATGGGGCAACTCATAGGGGAGGGGACACAAGTGTTGTTACCTGCTATCGCTGATGGGACTCAGCTGATGCTGGCCGCAGGGCATCACCAGCCGAGGCTAGCTGCTGACACTGGAGGGCCAGGGCCACATCTACTGCAAACTGAGTCCACCATGTCTCTGCCCAGTCCTCAAGGGGATCAGCTGTACAAAAGGCCAGTAGAGTCCATGGCCCCGATAAAGGAGGACTCAAGGCTGCACCCGCCGCCTCTACCTGCCAATGCCGGAGGGTCTCATCTACTGCTAACTAAATCTACCATGCCTCTACCATGTCCACAGGGGGGACATCTGTGCCAACTGCCAGCAGAGGCCAGGGCTTCGCTAAAGGAGGACACAAGGCTGTGCCCCCCGCTGCTGGCTACCAAAACCGGAGGCTCACAGCTGGAGCTAACAGAATCCACAAAACCTTTACCCTGTCCCGCCCCCCCTGAACCTCTATCGCGAGGGGATGACGCACAGCGTCAGCAAGCTGTGTCCGCCCAACAGACACAGCTGTTGCTAGGGGCGACCACCAGGTCCGTGCCCCGTCCTCAGGAGGGTCAATGTCAGAGACCGCCAGCTGCGATCACCGGACCTGTGTCCCGTCCTCCGGGGGGCCAGCTGCAGAGACCGCCAGCAGAGACCACGGCCCCTCGATCCAACCGAACAGTGAATGAACAGTTAAGGCCTGGGGAACTGGTGGTACTGGAGGGAACGCAGGTAACAGGCATTAGCTCCCAGTGTGGCCGCCAGTGCCAAGACTGGTCGGAAAGACCAGGCTCCGCCCGGGGGTCGGCAGAGGACAAACAAGCTGCAGTCGGTCCAGAGGTAGTTGCTGCCAAAGGGGCGGAGTCGGGGACCACGACAATCACCCCCCACAACAAACTGCTGAGGTCGCCGACAATGCCTAAACAACCGAGTGGAGTAAATAAGATACAGAGGTACGTCTATCTGCAAAACATGGCCAGACGATTGAAGAACCTGTTTCCAAAAGAATCGTCGTTCAATACACACCGTCAGCAGCACCCGCGGGCGGAGAATGTGCAACCACGATTTCCAGTCCCCCAATCCAGGCAGGCCGATCAGGTCGACCAGGCCGTAGTCAGCCTGGTGCAACTGCCAGGGTTGACACAGGGACAGTCACAAGATGGCCAGACACAAGCACAGATGCGGCAACTAACAAACACGGACACCTACAAGCTGCAGCAGGGACCCATGCCCACCACTACCAGCAAATGCTTAGAGAGCAAGAGCAGGCGGAAATCGAACTACAAGAAGCTGTGGCCCTGCGAAGGGCGAGGCATCGGAATCGGATACGGACAGCAAAATTGAAATGGGTGCTGCCATAATAGGGGAAGAAGGTGTAGGACCCCGAAACCCTCAAAGGAGCATTGAATCATCCGAGGGTGCAGCCCTCACACAAGAACAACAAGCTCTTTTTCACCATCTGGCCACACAGCAAATGTCAGAAACACACCCATGGGCACAACCCCAACATGTCCAATTACCAGCAAACATGCCACCCCCTGCAAAAGGAATGGAACTGACGGACCCACAGCTCTTCATGCAGGGTCTGGCAGAAGCTCAATACAAACTACAGGCACAAAAGGAAATCCTGGGAATGCTGGATTTCCAGGACCAGCAACAAGTAACAAACGAGAGGCTGTACCGGCAAGACAGGTTGCTCGTGGGTCACGACCAGCACGATCATCTTGGGCTGCCCCAGGAGACCACACGGGAAGGTATACACCCGGCCTACGACCTTCCAATGACCCTGCAGCATCCGGACGTAGACGTGGGTTACCCCCACCCCCCGGAGGGCACACATTCACAAAGAGACCACGACATGATCATGGAGCCTCACAGGGACACTYRGGAAGAGCCAGCAACAGTGGCAACGWWCCCACTCGGCTCCTATACTGGAGTGCACCCCGACCTCGATGTAGTTATGAGCAATGTCCCGCGGGATTCGGGACCAATGGGGGATGACCGGGATAGTGGCCACCACACAGACGCGGAGAACACGCCGCAACAGCAGGCGGGGTCGGAAAGYTGGGCCCAACAGCAGCTTATTCGGGATAARAATGTYCGTGCACACCTCAAAGAGCTGACTGATTGGATTCTACAAAACTCGCTGGCCCCGTCAGGCTTCACGATATGTGAGATTATCCCCCCGCTCCRCTGGGAGAAAATTCGTAGAAGAATAYTGGCGAAGCAGACAATCAAACAAACTGTTAATCAATATAGAAAGATGGAGGACATTGACTGGAGACTCGTAGCGAAAACTATCATTGCCACAGTCAATAAACTGCTGGATGAACTTAATCGAAAAACAGCAGGGTACACCGCATCTATGCAACTGACGGSAACTAGGGGTCACCAAGGGAGGCCGGGACTCCACACGGGGGACGACCAGTTCTGGCCATCGGTGCTGGTAGAAGACATAGGGGCCGTTCTTCACCACACTAACCAAGGGGGCCAGATGGTGCAGGCTCAGCCTCCAATGCTACTTAGGATCCCCGCCAACCTCCTGGCCCCCCCGGTACTGCAGGCGCCTTCACATGCTGCTGGCTACGCTGCCCAAGCGCTGACCTTGTTGTCTGAGGATGACCTAGACGATGACCAGCGACACGACCAGTCGAATGACACCGGGGACTCGGAATCGGACGAGGATTTTGAACAAGAGCCAGCTCCCCTGAATGAAACGTCCATGCACCGGCCTAACCTGCAAAGCAGGAAACCCGCCCTGCAATTAACACATTAAAGAGGGATGGGTCACGTGCAACACTAACCTGAAAATTGTCGTTTATGGAAGCACAAAATCCCATGGACTGGGTGCCTTTTAACCCGCCAACCCCCCCCCCCCCCCCCCCACGACCCCCGGATCCTCATGTCTCTCCCCCAGTGAGGTGTCCTCCAGAATGGAGGAGGAAAGTGGCACAAGCGGACTTGGACATTAGAGCAATAAATGTTAATGGTCTCGCACAGGCATCGCAGGAAAAAAAGGACGCAATCTGGGGCATGTTTAAACCGGAAGGGACGGGGAACTGGCCGGATGCAACGTGCAGGAGACCCACCTCACTCAGTCTCCAACACATCAAGCTAAAGGAAGATGGGTCTGTCCATACGCGTCATTCTCTGCACCAGTGAGGTCTGGGGCCTCGACAGGAGTGGCCATCTGGATATCACCCTCGTCAAGACTAAAACCGGTCTCACACGAGTATGACCAGCGAGAAGGGCGATGGGTATGCCTCAAAGCCGTAGTGGGGGACGAGGAAATTGGCATAGTAAGTATCTACGGTTCGAATGATCCAATGGAAAGAACCGACTTCCTCCTCTGCCTCAAAGATGAACTGCCTTCAGGTCTACCACTCATCCTGGCGGGTGATTTTAACATTACACCCGACCCGTTGTTGGACAGGAGATCCTCCTCCTCCACTGGGGACGGAGGGGAACAGCGTCATGACATATGGGCGTCGGACGTAGATATGCTGTCGAGGTTCATGGCCTCCCTACAACTAAAAGATGCATATAGGCTGCTCAACCCGACCAAGAGAGCATACACATGCATGAGATCAAGAGGTCGGGCGGGGAGATCTAATTCAACGATAGACTTATTTCTCATATCAGAAGAATTGGTTGGGACACTGTCAGTAGCAGCCATTATGACATTTAGTCCCTGTAAGTCCTTTGACCATCGCGGGATAGTGATGGGCCTGTGCTTTCATTCTCAAATCGAAAAGGCCCCAACTTTTATAAATTCAATATAGCGCTCCTTAAACTACCAGCCCTGAAAGCGCTCGTCCAAGAATTCTGGCAATATTGGGTGGCACAGAAATTTATTGCTTGTTCAATTGTGGACTGGTTTAATGATGGAGTCGCACAACTTAGAGACCTTGCAAGAAGTTTTCCATCAACCACGCTCCGCAAAGCAGTGTTAGACAACCTGCTCAAAGAACTGGAAGCATGGGACGACAAGCTGCAGAACGAACCCCTGGATGATGAGAACTATCACAGACTGCAGACCGCTAGAGACCACCTGCAATCCTACCTAGAAGCACAATCTGAGGCGTGGCGTGTTCTAACACGTATAAAGAAGCAGGACACGGATGACACAATGGCAAAGACCTTCTTCCGGAAGGCAAAGGCCAGGGCTAGGCAAGTAGCGGTGCCCTTACTTCGGCACCCCTTTGACCAATCCCAACCAGATGCATCCAACGCTTACTCCATCGTTGATTATGCAGCCCGATACTATCAAAAGCCGTATTCCTCAGAATTTGGCCAATGGGGAGTGGAACAGTTGACTACTGCTAGACACAAGATGATCAACAACTTGCCAGCAATGGTGTCAACGACTCAAAACCAACTCTTGGACGAGCCATTATCCATGGAAGAGCTGCTAGAAGCTTTAAGGGGGATGGAAGACGAAAAAACCCCGGGACTCGACTCCTTCCCTAAGGAATTCTGGATCTCCTAGTGGGAGATCTTCCAGGATAGTATTCAAGCCTTTGTACAGGCAGTCCAGTCAGAAGGGACCTTTGGGGGACTGATCAGTCAAGGGGTTACCACACTCCTCTATAAGAAAGGGGACAAAACAGACGTCCGAAACTATAGACCAATCACACTTCTCCCCGTGCCATACAAAATGATCTCTAAAGCCCTGACCAATCGGCTGCTTCCACATATGAGCCATCTGATTTTCCAGGACCAGATGGGGTTTATGCCACAACGTAACATTCAAGATAACGTGATCCTTGTGAATGAAACGATCAAATATGCGAGGCAACACCGAAGGGAAGCCGCTGTCCTTCTTATCGACTTTGAAAAGGCCTATGACCATGAGGACTGGGATTTCATGGACTGCTGCCTGCAAAAAATGAACTTCGGAGACAAATTTAGAACATGGGTGTCCATCATGCATAGGTCAGCAGCAACCA